GAAGATAGTGTAAGGAGCCTTGGGACAACCTCAAGCGTACCAACATCAGAATTATGGGGGTGCCAGAAGAAGAGAGAGAGCAAAATAAAACCTATTTGAAGAAATAATGACTGAAAACTTCCCCCACATGGTGAAAGAAATAGACTTACAAGTCCAGGAAGCACACAGAACCCCAAACAAAAGGAATCTAAAGAGGACCACACCAAGACACATCATAATTAAAATGCCAAGAGCAAAAGACAAAGAGAGAATCTTAAAAGCAGCAAGAGAAAAATAGTTAATTACCTACAAGGGAGCACCCATAGGATTGTCAGCTGATTTCTCAACAGAAACTATGCAGGCCAGATGGGAGTGGCAAGAAATATTCAAAGTGATGAATAGCAAGAACCTACAACCAATATTACTCTACTCAGCAAAGCTATCATTCAGAATTGAAGAGCAAATAAAGAGCTTCACAGATAAGAAAAAGCTAAAGAGTTCATCAATACCAAACCAATATTATATGAAATGCTGAAGGGTATTCTTTAAGAAGAGGAAGAAAAAAAGGTAAAGATAAAAATTATGAACAACAAATACATATCTATCAACAAGTGAATCTAAAAGTCAAGTGAATAAAAAAATCTGATGATCAGAATTGGTGAATAGAATCAGGGGCATAGAAAGGGAGTGGACTGACAATTCTTGGCGGGGGGAAGGGATGTGTGGGTAAGGGAAGGGACTGGACAAAACTCATACACCTATGGATGAGGACAGTGTGGGGAGGTAAGGGCAGAGGGTGGGGTGGGAACCAGGTGGAGGGGAGCTCTGGGGGGGAAAAAGAGGAACAATTGTAATAATCTGAACAATAAAGATTTATTAAATTAAAAAAATATATATTTTTAAACCCCCACAAAATAATGTTTTGTTATTTATTTTTTTATTTTATTTTTTTTTCAAAATCATGTTTTGAAATGCATACAATAAAATATACTGCATTATAAAAGGACTGCTGATATTAAAATGCAAATATTCTATATAATAAAAGCCTAACCTGCTAAGTGTCCCATCCATCTGTTCAACCAAAGTGTAATATGGTAATGAAATGTGTAGGGCACTCAACTGCTGGCTTTGACATGCACTGACCATCGGGGAGCAGAAAGCTAACCAGTCGCTATGATGTACAACTGACCACCAGCGGCCACACTCTCTGACTGGTAGCTTAGCTTGCTGCTGTGGTCTGGCAGATTGGGCCAGACACGCCCTGGAGCCCTCCTGTGGCCGGCCAACCTCCAGCATCCTTCCTGGCCCCGATCGTGCACAAGTGGGGTCCCTTGGCCTGGCCTGGGCTCTCTCACAATCCGAGACCCCTTGGGGGATGTTGGAGAGCCAGTTTCGGACTCATCCTACAGGTCAGGCCGAGGAACCCCACTGGTGCACGAATTCATGCACCAGGCCTCTAGTCAAAATATAAAAAGTTTATGACATTATAAGATACAGAGGTAGGACTAATAAGGATCAGAACCAGCAGGTAGCAGTGGGCATGTGACTGCTATTTTGAGGTGTGTGCAGCACCTGCAGCGAGTATGAAAACCCTGGTGATTTTGTTAGGGGCAAAATAGATACTGAAACTAGCTATGGTTATGGGAAATATCAATCACGCTCTGTTAACCATGATTGCCTTGTTCTGGTTAAAGAAAGGACATGCTAACCTGGCTGGGAGTTGTATGCCCCCAGACCTGGAAGACAACCTTGGAACGTGGTCTATTCTCAATCAAGAACTGCCTATTATCATGGAAAGATTAACAACCTCATTGCCCAAACAATGGAGTCCCACTTTGCCTCCTTCCCCATGCTTGAAATTTCTACTTCCCCACCTCGTCTTTGTCTTACCCTATAGAAGCAGCTGGCTTGTGGGGTGCTAGAGAGATTTTGTGGAAGACATGCTGCTCTCCCATGCTGCCGACAGTATTGGAATAAACACTCATATGTGACTCAACCCTGTCTCTGCTCTCAGCTTAATTGGCTCAAGTAGTGACAGGCGGCCTAGGCCCATTGGTTGCCCGGTTTCAATTTCTGTGTGATAGCCACAAGTATTGTGAATTCTGCTGGACTTTGCTGCCTCCGTTCACAACTCAAGGAAATACCAAATTTCAGTTAAAGGTTAGTGAAAATAAAGTTGGATTTTTTTTTTTCCTTCTCATCTCAGCTCCTGCAGCTCCCAACCCTGGGTCCTTGGGCCAAGGTGAAGAACCAGTGAAGGATGGGACCTCCCTGGCTGTCCCAGAGTCTCCAGGAGGCAGTGTGGCTGGAGGCAGACATGGGATCCCCACACAAAGGCACTTGCACTCTGTGGGAAGCAAGAACAAAGGAGGAAGGGCCACCGCTGGATCTGGAGAGAAAATGGGACTTTCTGCGCCCCTCTGACTCCCCTTCACTCCTGGGTGGGTGCCCATCCTGGGTGGCAGGGTGACAGGCAGAGTTCACTGCCTAGAAGTGCCCGAGGGAATTGGGTGGCAGGAGGCCCTGAGGAATTCATTGCAGAAGGGCACAGGGAGCTGAGGAAAACGGCCAGGAGCCAGACAGCACTGCGGTTTCCAAGGATAAAGTTGGGGTGCAGAGGCTCTGGGACGGAGGGCCGGTGAATGCCTGCAGCGGGCCTTCCCTCATTGTGGCGTCACTTGTGCAGGCCCTGGGGACAGAGCCTCTTGCCACGACACCCCCTCTCCAGCCCCCTTCCAGAGGGAGTACCGGGTTTCCTCGGGGATGTCCCTTCTCAGTTAGGGTGCAATCCTGGCAGGACAGTCAGGCCTGGTGCCCAGGCAAGCGGCGGGTGCGTGGCCCAGAGAACCCCTCCTGGGATTCTGATGGGGTAGGGGGGAAGCAGCCTGGCTGGGAGGGTCTGGAAAGACTGCCCTCACTCTCCTGGGCCTGGACCCAATGATTGCCCAAACCCAGCCATCAGTTTGAGGCCCCCTTCAGGCTCCGCACCCCAGCCCCTCCCCATTCCCCATCACTCCAGACCTCACACTTCCAGAGGCAATCAGCAGCCTTCTCCCCTCCCTGCCCTGGCCATCCAGTTCTGACAGAGGCCCTGCATCTCCGGCATCTTATTCCACCCCGAGCCACCCATCCCCGCTCCGCCCCACAGGCAGAGGCAGGGGACTGGGACTCAGGGAGCTTCTCGAACTTTAGTAACTGACCGGCCATCTGCTTAACTTTTACTGGTTTCGTTTCCTTAAACCAACTCATTTTAAACGTCAACACATATTTAGGGGGGAATGAAACCCTTGGTATCACAGCCCAAGTGAAAACCATGATCCCTTGCCACACACAGAAGACACCTGTGAGAACGGGGACACAAAGCCTCCGGGGGCTGCCAGCAGGCTGGCAGCGCGGGCCCTTCCTCAGCCCTAACGGCCGCAGGGAGCGGCCTCAGTCCGCTGGTCAGGCCTCCGCGGCGCCGGCCGCCTCCCCGCTCCCCGCTCCCCGCAGACTCCTCTCTGCGAGGCAAGTGCCCCGCCTGCTCCCAGCGCCCGCCCGCCCAGTGCAGGCCGGGCTGAAGGAGGAAAACAATGCCCAGCACCTCCCAGCCCGCCCCCATGCCCCCCCATGTCCGCCCCCATGCCCCCCATACCCCCCCATGTCCGCCCCCATGTCCCCCCATGTCCGCCCCCATGCCCCCCATGTCCGCCCCCATGCCCCCCCATGTCCGCCCCCATGCCCCCCATGCCCGCCCCCATGCCCCCCATGCCCGCCCCCTTGTCCGCCCTCATGCTCGCACCCATGTCCCCCCCATGTCTCCCCATGTCCGCCCTCATCTCCCCCATGCCCGCCCCCATGCCCGCCCCATGTCCGCCCCCATGTCCCTCCATGTCCGCCCCCATGCCCGCACCCATGTCCCCCCCATGTCTCCCCATGTCCGCCCCATGTCTCCCCATGTCCCCCCATGTCCTCCCCATGTCTCCCCATGTCCGCCCCCATGTCTCCCCATGTCTGCCCCCATGTCTCCCCATGTCTCCCCATGTCTGCCCCATGTCTCCCCATGTCCCCCCATGCCCGCCCCCATGCCCGCCCCCATGTCTCCCCATGTCTGCCCCATGCCAGCCCCCATCTCCCCCATGCCCGCCCCCATGCCCGCACCCATGTCCCCCCATGTCTCCCCATGTCCCCCCATGCCCGCCCCCATGCCCGAAAGGCCCCGCGGTCCTCGCAGCCGATGCCAGGAGCCAGGACTGTGAGGGGTGGTGCTCAGGCTCCCAATGCCGCCCAGGCCGGGCTGCCTGACCCTGTGGCCGCCCCTCCCCGGCCCCAGCGGGCTGGCCGGGCCGCCGGACGGTACGGGACAAGGGGGCGCCCCCGAGTAAGGGGACAGGGCGCTGGCCGTGGGGGCCGAGAGCCCGTCAGCCGAAGGCTGTGCCCGCCGCCAGCCACCCGCGCCTGGTCACTGCCCAGCACCGCACCCGCCACCTCCTTTCTCCCGAAACACCCACGTCCCTGTTTTACCAGCAGGAGCGCCTCTGCCCAGCGCCTTCCTCTGCGACCCGAGGCCGGTGCTGGGGCCGCCGCGCGGGGGTGCGGCGGGACTGAGCCCCGGGCGGGCGGCGCGGGCTCCACCCTCCGCCCGGGCCTGGCCCCGAGGCCCCGAGCAGCGGGTCGGTCCGCTGACAGGACCTGCCGCCGAGCGGGCGGCGGCCCGCCTCACCTGCGGGGCCGCCCTCAGCGCCCCGCCTCCGGAGCGGGCGGCGGCGGTGCTGCGGCCCCTTTAAGCCGGGCCGCCCCGCCCCGCGCTCCGACTCCGCGCCCGGATCCGGCCGGGCCGCGCTCCGCCGCCCAGTGCAGCCCGGCCGCCCGGCCCGCGGAGGAAGGCCCGGCGCCCGCGCCCGGAGGAGCCGTCCGGCCCGCCCGCCCGGGCCCCGCCCCGCCCATCCCGGGGCCGGGGCCCCGCCGCCTCCGGCCCGCCCGGCCCCGCTCCCGGGCCATGCGGCCTCGGCCCCGCCGGCGCCCGCCGCGCACCCGGGGAGATGAGGCTCCGCAATGGCCCCTTCCTGACGCTGCTGCTCCTCTGCCTGTGCGCCCTCCTCTCGCTGTCCTGGTACGCGGCCCTCGGCGGCCAGAAAGGTGAGCCCGCCGCGCCCGCACCTGGGCGCCGGCCGCACGGGGGGCGGGGGTCGCGGCCGGAAGCGGCGGGCCCTTCCCCTCCCGGCGCGGGGGCCTCCCCGCCTCCCCCGCTCGCCGCTGCGGGAACAACAAACTCCCGGCGCCCGGAAGGCCGGGTGGCCGCGGCGAGCCCTCGGTGCCGCTCGCGGCGCGGACCCGCCTCGGGAGCGCAGTTGCGCCCATGGCACCTGGGCACCTGGGGCTTCAGGGGCCGGGGGCGAGGCCACGGCGCCGTGCCCCGTGGCGCCCAGGAGCCCCGGCACCTGCGCCGCAGGAAGCACTGTGCTCCTGAGACAGGTGTGAGGGACAGCGGACACCCGGACAGCGGCTGTCCCTCACCCCACCCTGCTTGCATGGTCACACCCCCTGCCCGGGCTGCTCCTGGGGTGCCCGCCGCTCGCCTCCAGGACCAGTGGCCCCAGGACTGCTCCGCGGCCCGGGGCTGCCGGCCCGGGAGTGCCCGGAGGACCTCATGAGCAGCCAGCCCAGCCCGCACCCATGAGCTCCCTTTGTGTGGTCTCACCCTCCTGCAGTTCGGCCAAGCTGCTCACCCGCCCCCGAGGCCCTGTGGATCTGGCCGGCCCTTGGGAGTGGGAGGTGGGGGAGGCGGGCTCCAGACTGGCTGGTGTGGGTCCGGATGGCGGGGGCTGAGGAGGCCCTACAGCCCTCATCCGTCCAGCCTCAGCCCCGGAGCCACCAGGAAAAGGCGGCTTCCTGCCTGCCTCCTGGCCTCCTGCCTCCTGGCCTGCCTGCATAGGCTTCGCAGGATCAGGCTGAGGTCAACTGAGCCTCTGCTCCCTCCACTTCCGGCTTCCCTGTCCTCCCCCCCTCCACACGCACACGGAATGGAGCTGGGGGAGGAGCTAGAGCCTTCCTGACCCTCGGCCCCAGCAGCCCTCCCACCTGCCCCTGCCTGCCTGCCCGCCCACTGCAGTCCTCCCGTGTGGGTGAGGCCAGGGGCCCTGAGGGGACACCCCTAGGACTGCAGAGCTCTCTCTGGGTCTCTACAGGGAAGGGGGTGTCACCTGGGGGAGAGCTTGGCGCACACTTGTCTGACTGTGGTGGAGTGATGAGCTGACACCCTGTCCTGGCCAGGGTAGATCCTGTCCGCCTCCTGCGCAGCCACGTGCCCTCAGCCTGATGTCAGGCTGTAGAGCAAGCCCACCAGTGTCCCGGGGAGCAGTGTGGGTTTCCAGTGGCTCCATTTAGGGCTCACATTCCCTGACTGGCACTCCAAGGCCCCGGGGAGTGTGAGAGCACCTTCAGCCAAAGAATTGTGGGGCTCAGATGCAGGGACCATCAACCCTGGGGCACGGAAGCCAAGGAGCCTTGGGCATGGTGAGGTGTGACCTGGGCCTTGCACTGTTTCTGGGCGCCCAGTAGGGCTCCGTAGGGCCAGATCTTCGGAGCCTCAAGAGAAGCCTGAACCTGAGCTCTTAGGTGACCCCTTTTCTCACTTATAGACAGTGGTTTAAGCCTGTGGAGAAGCCAGACTGAGCCAGGCTGAGGCCAGAGGGTCCCGGCTTCCATCACAGCGAGGGAGGAGCTCAGGATAGGGTGACCGGGCACCGATACTTGGGGGAAGGCCAGCGGAGCCTGGTCTGTAGAAGGGAGGAGGCGGGCAGGTGGCCAGAGAGGAAGGCGGCAGCAGGAGAAGATGGACCCTGCAAGCCCAGGGCCAGGAAGGACGTGCAGGCCTTGGCGAGATGGGCCCGGGCTGTGGGTTCACATCCAGCCTTGACCACATCAGTGACCAGCGCTGTTAGCGCTCACACTGCAGCTCAGCCACGTGCTGTGAAAGCCTCGTCCAGGGAGGACAGCAGCCAGGGCCAGCTTCCCGCACCGGTGCTTCAGCAGTGGGAGTCCGTGTGTTTGTGTGTGTGTGTGTGTGTGTGTGTCCCGGAGCATGGGACAAGTGCTGGAGGGGAATGCACACTGCCCCCCACCTCGGCCCCCTGCTGTTAACACACATGCCCAGCCCTCTGAGCCTGCTTCCCCTTCCTGAGCCTGGGCGAACGGTCTGTGTCTGCAGCCACGTGGGGACCACAGGGAGACTGTGGTCATGGGCCTCAGGTGTGCTGTTCTCTGCCTTCCGATGGGAAAACCTCCAATAGCATGGCCACAGCTGCAGTCCTTCCTGGGGCCGGCTGTTCCAGGCCAGATCCCACCCCATCTCCCCAGGGTAAGGAGGTGTGGAGAGCAGGAGACACCAGTCCCCTCAGCCCTCACTCCCAGAACCAGGGCTCCCAGACCTTTGCCCTTCCCATCAATTGAGCTGCCTTCCCAGCCACTCACCACCTCAGTCCAACCACCCAGCCCTTGCAGGTTGTGGGGTGCGGGGCCCTGGCAGCACTCTGGCTAAGGCTCAGCACCTGGACAGGCAGTCAGCAAGCTTGAGGTTCTGGCTTTGACAGGCGAGGACAGGTTGGGTCCACAAGCGAGAAGCTGGGGACCTTGCAGGCAGCAGGCAGGGCAGAAGCAGGGGCAGGTGCTGAGGGACCAGGGGGGCTGCTGAGGGACGGGGTCAGCGTTCAGGGGAATGAAACCAGGCCCTGGAACCCACAGCCCACTCCTTTTAGTAAATGGAGGACGTTCAGGCCCTGGGCAGAGGGAGGCCCCTGGGAAGGGCAGCCACGGTATGGAGCGGGCTGTGCCAGGCCTTGGTAGTCGGCGATTCAGGGCAACAGTGCCCACCACTGCCTACCCAGCCTGTCCGCCAGGGGAAGCTAAGGTTGGACAGAGTTCAGTCTACTTAAAGATTAGAGAGAGTGGGGAAGGGGTGGCAGAGGCAGCAGCCGGGGGTGAGGCCTCCCACATCCCCCTACTTCACAAAGGGCCCCCCTGCACTGGTGTGGGCAGCCGGGGCCACAGGGAGGTGGGCAGGGCCTCAGCAGGAGGAAGGCCACCTGCTACATCCAGGTGGCTGAACTGCTTCTGCTGGGCCGGGCAGCTCCTGTTCAAGGGTTCAGATTTCCAGGGTAACCTGGCCCTGGAGCCCAGTGCGGACCTGGAGATCTCGTAACCTGAGCAGCCTCTGCCCTCCCCACCAGAGCGGGCCAGCTGCGGATGGAGGCTCCAGAAGTAGTAGTGTCCTGAGGTGGCTGCAGTGTTTTAAGATACATTTTTATTGATTTCAGAGGAAGGGAGAGGGAGAAAGAGATGGAAACATCAGTGATGAGAGAGAATCATTGATCAGCTGCCGCCTGTACGTCCCCTACTAGGGATCAAGCCCGAAACCTGGGCATGTGCCCTGACCAGAATGGAACCTGGGACCCTTCAGTCCACAGGCCAACGCTCTATCCACTGAGTCACCCCAGCCAGGGCATGAGGTGACTGAAATTTGCCTCGGCGGTGGCCTCTGGTGCACACAGCTGTGGGGAGTGACACCATCTGGGAGCTGTGACCCTCCAGGGATTGGGGATGGAAGAGCTGCCTGGAGGTGGGAGGGGATTCCTGGACGTGGAGACGTAAACCAGGCCTTGAAGGCCGCACGGGTGGCCTTTGGCCCAGAGGAGGAAAGGGGTCGCAGGCAGAGGACTGCATGTGTGTGAGCATGGCCGTGGGCAAGGATGAGGAGTGAGGTGATAGCAAAGGAAGGTGGTGCTGGTGAGACCAGACAGGCCTAGCCCACAGCCCTCGGGCCCGCTGCAGTGGGGATGCTGTTGTCTCGTGCTTGCTCACCGGTCCCTGCCCAACCAGTGGAGCCAGGAGGTGCACCCCAGGGACTCCTCTGTGCTGTCAGGGACCCCACCTGTGCTGCTCTCCGTGCACCCAACACCAGCTGGAGGTTCTCCACGGGCCTCCCGAGAAGCAGGCCTCAGGGCATCAGAAGTGGCCCCTCTGCTGCTGACTCACTGGGCGACCCGGGACTAGTTCTCAGCATCATTTGCTCATTTGAGCGCTTGGGGGCAGGAACAGCAGCCGCCAGCCCTGGGGCTGGTGTGAGACTGAGGGGATCCAGGTGTGGGTCCTGCTAAGAAACCCCTTGAGGAAGGGCTGGGTCTTTGTGCCCTGGATGGCGCCTTTGGGTGTCCCAGCCCTGGCAGGAGCAGATGCTGCCAGGAGAAGCCAGAGGATGGAAAAGGATTCAGCCTGAGGCTGTCCCAGCCCCTGCTTAGGGATGCCCCATGCGGGCTGGGAACGGTCCTGCAGCCCTCCCACTCCGATCCCTCCTGGAAGGAGAAAAGCCTGGGGGAGGGAGAGAGGACTGGAGAGTGCTGCCTCCCCCCAGGCTTTCTCCCCCAGGTGTGTCAGTGTGACTTCAAGGTGACCCTGTGCAACCCCCGAAAACTCCCCTGTGGCAGGCACGGGAACAGGTGTAGATGGTCCGTGGCACAGATGGGCACAGATGTATGCACTGGCTCCCTCCCCGGGCTGTAGGTAGCTCTAGGCCGCCCCCTGGTGACAGCTTGCGGACCGCCCGCAGGTGACGTGGTGGACGTGTACCAGCGCGAGTTCCTGGCTCTGCGCGACCGGCTGCACGCCGCCGAGCAGGAGAGCCTCAAGCGCTCCAAGGAGCTCAACCTGGTGCTGGACGAGATCAAGAGGGCCGTGTCCGAGAGGCAGGCGCTGCGGGACCGCGACGGCAACCGCACGTGGGGCAGGCTCACCGGTGAGGCCGCCGGCGACCGGGAGGCAGGGCTGCTGGCGGGCCTGCCCCTCTGCCCCCGGGCTGACCGTCCTTTCCCGGCCCTCGCAGAGGACCCGCGCCTGAAGCCGTGGAACGCCTCGCAGAAACATGTGCTGCACTTGCCTTCGGTCTTCCACCACCTGCCGCACCTGCTGGCCAAGGAGAGCAGCCTGCAGCCGGCCGTGCGCCTGGGCCAGGGCCGCACCGGAGGTGGGCGGGGCCGCGGGGTGGGCGGGGCCGCGGGCGGGCGGCGGGGCCAGGCCTGAGGACCGCTCTCCGCAGTGTCGGTGGTGATGGGCATTCCCAGCGTGCGGCGCGAGGTCCACTCCTACCTGACGGACACGCTGCACTCGCTCATCTCGGAACTGAGCCCGCAGGAGAAGGAGGACTCGGTCATCGTGGTGCTGATTGCCGAGGCGAGTGGGCGGGCGCGGGGCGGGGGCACCGCACGGAGGACACCTGGCACCGATGACGAGAAGGAGCACTCTGAGGGGAGAGCTATCAGAAGTTCCCTATCATTCACTGACTTATCCAGATAAAAAGTTAAGAGACATGTCAGCGCCCCCTCGTGGAGATGCCATTCACCTACTGTGCCCCACCCGGGTGTCTACCCACGGGCTTTTCTCTGCGGCCCCTGTGACCCTGGCCCAGCCCCACTCGGCCCTCAGGATCCGGGCTCACTCCCTATGAGGCCCACACCCCGAGGCCCACACCCCTAGCCCCAGCCCTTCTTCCGGGCCATCCGGGCAGCGGCCCTGCTGAGGGTGCTGCCTGTCTCCCCGCAGACTGACCCGCAGTACACCGCGGCGGTGACGGAGAACATCAAGGCCTTGTGAGTACCGGCAGCAGAAGAGCTGGCGGAAGGAGGGCCTTGTGGGTCAGCAGATCTCCTCCCGAGACAGGGACCTCTGGGAGGGTGCGCCCCTGCGGGCTTGGAGAGGTGGCCCAAGCCCCACGCCTCAGTGGTGCCTCCTAGTGGGCCTTCAGCAAGGGACAGGGTCTGCTGGCTCAGCCCTGCCCCTGCTCCGGGCCCTGGAGACACGCACCCTCTGGCCTTCCTGTCCCCCAGGTTCCCCACAGAGATCCATTCCGGGCTCCTGGAGGTCATCGCCCCTTCCCCACACTTCTACCCTGACTTCTCCCGGCTCCGCGAGTCCTTTGGGGACCCCAAGGAGAGAGTCAGGTACTAGCACTGCCCTTTCCAGCTCCCTCAGCATCCTCCTCTCGCCTGCTGCTGGCTGTAGTGCCTCCCCTTCTGCATTGGAGGACCCTGCGGGGGGGGGGGGGGGGGGGGGTGTGCCGTGCGGTAAGTGTGCCGGGGTAGCTGTGCCAGAGGAGGATTCTGAGCTCTGAGGCGGCCCTGGCCCACAGGTGGAGGACCAAACAGAACCTCGATTACTGCTTCCTCATGATGTACGCGCAGTCCAAAGGCATCTACTACGTCCAGGTCAGCACCGCCCTGCTCGGCGCCCCCCAGATCTGGGGGGCCTGGGAGATGCATGCCGCCCTGCCCCCTGAGTCCCAGGCCCCTTCTCCCCTCCTGAGTCCCGGGCCCCTTCTCCCCTCCTGAGTCCCGGGCCCCTTCTCCCCTCCTGAGTCCCGGGCCCCTTCTCCCCCCCTGAGTCCCGGGCCCCTTCTCCCCTCCTGAGTCCCGGGCCCCTTCTCCCCTCCTGAGTCCCGGGCCCCTTCTCCCCTCCTGAGTCCCGGGCCCCTTCTCCCCCCCTGGGTCCCGGGCCCCTTCTCCCCCCCTGAGTCCCGGGCCCCTTCTCCCCCCCTGGGTCCCGGGCCCCTTCTCCCCCCCTGGGTCCCGGGCCCCTTCTCCCCCCCTGGGTCCCGGGCCCCTTCTCCCCCCCTGAGTCCCGGGCCCCTTCTCCCCCCCTGAGTCCCGGGCCCCTTCTCCCCCCCTGAGTCCCGGGCCCCTTCTCCCCCCCTGAGTCCCGGGCCCCTTCTCCCCCCCTGAGTCCCGGGCCCCTTCTCCCCTCCCGGAGCAGCTGGAGGACGACATCGTGGCCAAGCCCAACTACCTGAGCACCATGAAGGACTTCGCTCTGCAGCAGCCGTCAGAGGACTGGATGATCCTGGAGTTCTCCCAGCTGGGCTTCATTGGTGGGACCCCCCTCCGTCCCGTGACCTGAACAGAGCCCCTCAGTCGTCGTCCCCGCCCCCCTACCTCTGTCATAACCCTGACCCATAACCCATGCCCTGCAACTTCGTGTTGGCCTCACGTGGCCACTGGAGCCACATCTGGCCTCTTCCCACCTGCCCTCAGAGTCCCCGTCAGTGTCTGACCCCTGGTGCCCACGCCTGCCTGCAGCTGGACACGGGGTTTGCTGGGGGACCTCCCTAGTGGTTCCCACAGGGATTAAGAGGAAGCAGGGCAGGGCAGAGCTGCCCGCTCAGCATCGCACCCGCTTCTCCACCAGGGAAGATGTTCAAGTCACTGGACCTGAGCCTGATTGTGGAGTTCATCCTCATGTTCTACCGGGACAAGCCCATCGACTGGCTCCTGGACCACATTCTGTGGGTGAAGGTCTGCAACCCGGAGAAGGACGCGGTGAGCAGGGGCTGCGGGGGCAGGCCGGGCGGTGGGACTCGCACCTCCAGCGTGGACTGTGTGCGGGTGCGCCTCGCTCGGACCGGGCGTGAGCGCGCTTAGATGGCTGCCTCCCTCCGCAGAAGCACTGTGACCGGCAGAAGGCCAACCTCCGCATCCGCTTCAAGCCGTCCCTCTTCCAGCACGTGGGCACGCACTCCTCGCTGGCGGGCAAGATTCAGAAGCTGAAGGTGGGCTGTGCCTCCGGGAGCCCGGCGAGAGCGGCAGAGCCGGGTGGGCCCGGGGGCAGGGCCGGTCCGGGCGCCCCTGGCAGCGCTGTCTCTGGGCCTAGGACAAGGACTTTGGGAAGCAGGCGCTTCGGAAGGAGCACATGAACCCCCCGGCCGAAGTGAGCACGAGCCTCAAAACGTACCAGCACTTCACCCTGGAGAAGGCCTACCTGCGCGAGGACTTCTTCTGGGCCTTCACGCCCGCCGCCGGGGACTTCATCCGCTTCCGCTTCTTCCAGCCGCTGCGCCTGGAGCGGTCAGTGCGGCACAGGCCCGGGGCGGCAGGGCGGCACCACAGGTTCCAGGGGGGAGGCAGGGCGGCACCACAGGTTCCAGGGGGGAGGCAGGGCGGCACCACAGGTTCCAGGGGGAGGCAGGGCAGCACACGGGTCCCCGTGGGGGAGGCAGGGCGGCCACCAGGGTACAGGCCTCATCACAAACTCTGTGACCCCAGCAAATGAGTCAGCCCTCCCCTGCCTCAGTTTCCCTACCTGAAGAGGGGGTGCATAATGGCAGCTACCTTGTAAAGACGCCAGGCAGGGCCCCCAGGAGCTCCGAGACGCTGCCATCACCATCCTCCAGTGAGGAAGGCCTGGCTGCCTTGCACAGCCAGTGGCTGCCGCGGTGGTGCCCAGCGCCGCCCAGCGCCCGGGCCCGAGCCTGGCCTTTTCTCTGCCGGGCAGCGTGCCGGGCAGCCCCGCCTGCAGAGCTCACAGGCCTGCCGGCCGCAGGTTCTTCTTCCGCAGCGGGAACATTGAGCACCCGGAGGACAAGCTCTTCAACACGTCCGTGGAGGTGCTGCCCTTCGACGTGAGTGCCGGGCGCGGGGGTGCCGGCGAGGCCGCCGCGCCCAGCCCTGGCTTCAGCCCCTTGCTTTTGCCCCCAGAACCCCCAGTCAGACAAGGAGGCCCTGCAGGAGGGCCGCTCAACCACCCTCCGGTACCCGCGGAGCCCCGATGGCTACCTCCAGATAGGTGAGTGGGCTCAGGCAGGCCGAGGCGGGGAGAGGCTGGGGTCTCGGGACAAGCTCTCGGCACTGCCGTCCCCAGGCTCCTTCTCCAAAGGCGTGGCCGAGGGCGAGGTGGACCCAGCCTTCGGGCCCCTGGAAGCACTGCGCCTCTCCATCCAGACAGACTCGCCCGTGTGGGTCATTCTGAGCGAGGTGAGGCCGGCGGGGCGGGCTCAGGGAACACGGAGCTGCGTGGGCCAGCTCTGTGCCCTGCTGACCGGGCGGCTCTTGCAGATCTTCCTGAAGAAGGCGGACTGAGGACTTCTGAGGACTGGTCCTGACGCCAGGAGACCAGGATGTCTTCGCTGCTGCCCCCAGGGCCAGATGTGGCCCACCGGCCTGAGGGTGCTCCTGGCACCTCTCAGCAGCTGGGGCTGCCGCTGGCGGGAGGCCCCAGGAGCTGGTGCTGCCCTCCGCTCGGCCGCGGGAGGAGGTGGTGTCCCCACACTGTGCCTGAGGCCGGCCTGGCCGCCCCAGCTGCTCGCAGCTGGCGGGGGCTGGAGCCAGGCCGACTTAGAAGAGCTTTTTCTGGGCGCTCTCTGGCGCGAACACTGGAATGCATATACTACTTACGTGCTGTGTTTTTTATTCTTGGATACATTTGGTTTTTTTCACTTAAGTCCACATATACTTCTATAAGAGCGTGACTTGTAATAAAGGGTTAATGAAGTGTGTGCCTCCTGCCCCGTGCTCCACTCCGGTTGGTGGGGGTGGGGAGCAGGCACCAGATGGAGCCTCCCTGTGCCCACTGCTGCCACCTCTGCACAACCCCGTTTCCTTGGCACTGTCCAGTCCGGGCCTGGGCCACCTTGAAGGGGGAGGCTGCATAGAATCTGGGGCCCTGGCCCTCAAAAGCTGCTCCTCTCCACAGGACCTCAAGCATGCCCCTCACTTCCTTCATCCACCCCAACTGCCTGGGGTGGGGCCTCTAAACTGGTGGGGCATCCCCCACCTCGTTCCCTCTTCAAGGGCCTCGGCCCTGTCCTCGTCCCTGGGCCCAAGGCCTCCATCACCTCCCACCGTCTCTGACACATTTTGGGGACTCCCGCCCACTTCGGGACCTTTGCACACATTGTCACCCTGCTTGGAGAGCTCCTCCCCTGCCGACTGGACCACAAGTCACTCCTCAGGGCCGTTATTTGTGGCCGGCGGGTCCTTCTGGAATCGACCTTGAAGGCGCCTACCACGTACGCCATCCACCCCCTCCAGACCCTCTTCCGCGGCAGGTGCCCCGAAACCTACACTGTCCTAGGCACCGGGCCAGGGAACAAGGACAGGGCAGGCTCAGGGGAGGGCATGGCCCCAGGGGGGCCCATGGGGAGGCCGGACCTAGGACCGGATCGAGGCCGTGGGGGGAGGGGGTTTGGGCGGTTGGGGCGGCTTTCTTTCCTCGGCCCGTTCCCACCGCCCTCGGAAGCCCACTCGACGGCTACGGCCCGGGGCTGGGCCTCCCCCCCCCCCAAGCTCCTCAGCCCGCGGAGCGACGCTGTCCGACCAGAGAGAGCGTTCGGGTCTGGGCGCGAGTACTTTAATCAGAGACTGGGCTGGGGGCATCCTCCCCCCTCCCGCACCCCATTCCGCCCCCCCCTCCCCCGATCCTCCCGGCGCCCGGCTCCGGTCCAGCTCCGCAGATCCGCGTCCTCAGTGTCAGGCCCAGGGCAGCAGCGTCCCGAGCCGCCCCCGGAGCGCGGCGCGCAGCGAGGCGGGCAGGAAGTGGGCGAGCAGGCCCAGCGCCGCCAGCGCCACCAGCAGCCAGAGCGCGCGCGCGCTCGTGTACAGCGGGGCCAGCCTGCGGACGGCAGCCTGAGGGCGGGGCCTGTGGAGCCCCGCCCCGAGCCCGCCCCACTCCGAGCGCCCGCCCCAAAGCCCCGCCCCTGGAGCCCCGCCCCACTCCGAGCGCCCGCCCCCAAAGCCGCGCCCCCGCCCCGAGCGCCCCCTGGAGCCCCGCCCCCGCCCCGGAGCCCCGCCCCACTCCGAGCGCCCGCCCCCAAAGCCCCGCCCCCGCCCCCCAGCTGGGCTCCCCAAAGGGTCCCGCCTCCCGCCGGTGGAGACCCGCCGGCCGCCCTCCCGGCCTCACCTCTGCTGCGCGGAGCGCGCGTAGCCCTGGAAGTAGCGGAGGCGCGCGAACAGGTAGACCAGGCCGCACGCGGCCGCCGCACCTGGAGGCGCGGGCGGGTGAGCGCCGGGCCGGACCCCGGGCCCAGCCGCGCGCCCCCGCCCGCCGGGGCCCAGACCTTCGTGGCAGAAGACGCCGGCCACCCAGAGCGCGGCCAGGAACAGCGGGAAGTACTCGCTGCAGTTCACCCTGCGGAGCGCGGGGGTGAGGGCGGCGCCGCCTCCTCCCGCCCCGCCGCCCCGCCCGGCCCCGCGCTCACTGCGCTCGGAAGACGCGCTCGAACTCGGGCGGGCCGGTGGTGAGCGGCGGCGACACGCGGAAGGCCCTGCGCGCCGCGATCACCTGCAGGGAGAAGTAGGCTGGGGGGAGCGGGGGGCTCAGGCCGGGCCGCAGCCTCCCGGCCCGCCTCCCAGCGGCCTCGCCCCTTTCTCTCCCACTTCCGTCCGCGCTACACTGGGCTCAGGGCGCCTCTGGGCAGGGGACCCCACCCCCATTCTTCTTCGCTCGCCCTGTGTCCGTGGCCTCAGGGGGCAGGGCAGGGTGCGGCCTGGGCGCCCTGTGAGTGTGGGGGAAGGAGGTGCCAATCACCGGGACACCTGCCGTGGCCTTTCCTTCTAAATCATTTGACTTGCAAAATACAGGCAAATAGCCAGCCACCCGGCCTTGGACCTTGCCTTTTCGATCCCTGCGTAGGGAGTGCCACCAAGGCCGCAGCTGGGCACAGGGTTTGCTGTGGGACCCTCCCTAGTGGTTCCCACAGGGAGTAAGAGAAAGGGGGTCTGAGGCAACGGCCTCCGGCTCAGTTCTCTGTTCACTCGGACCGTGGCCTGACAGACATCCTCTCCCCTGCCTCCGGTGTGGCAGCGGGGACTCTTCCGTCCAGCGCCGGACTCCAGGGCTCTGCCACCTTCATTCCAGCACGGGTGGGTGGGCCCTTCCTTAACCCCAGGCCAGGCCCTTACCACACAGCCCCAATGTGGGTGTCCCAGCTACCTTACAGCACCCCTGGGCCGGGCCCTATGCAGACATATCATCCCAAAGGCATGTGTGGGTACCCAGGTGGCCATGCGAGCCCCTTGCAGGATCTGGAGGAAGCCCTGTGGCTACGAGCAGGGGCCCAGGGCCAAGCTTGCTGATGTAGCTGGAAAGGGATCGAGATGACCTGGTCCCTCCAGGCCCTGCCCTCTGTGCCTGCCCTAGCCCATGCGCGGTGATGTCCTAAGCAGGGGGTACCTGGCCCAGGAATGTGTCCTCTAGGGTAAGTCAGACAGGCACCAAGGCAGACAAGGCTCCCAGTGACCCTGCATGGCAAGGGTGCCTCTGAAGGCGAGGCCGGGACACCCAGAGGGGCCCCTGGTTGTCCCACTTTGGACCCACCCATCCTGGAGCACACCCAGGGTTCTCTGTGCTGGTTGAGGGGTCACCACCTCAGCCCTGTGCCTGTCGTGCCTACCCCAGTCATCCCTCAGGGCCTTTTCCCTCTCCCTGCCCTGCCAGCCTTGGTCCCTCAGACACCCATCCCTTCAAGGCTCGCCCCCTCCCCTCTGGGAAACGACAAGCCCCTCAGCCCTGGGGGCAGGTCAGGGGTCAGACTCCGGGCTGGGGGCCCAGCTCTGGCCCTCATCTGGGCCTGGGCCCTCCAGTACCCCCAGGACCTGCAGGGCAGAAGGTCCACCTCCCAAACAGGAGCCGGCTCACCTTGCAGTAGAACCCCCAGGAGGGTAACCGTGGCCAGAAGAGCCACCTCGTCCTTCATGGCGGCCGCTGGTGTGTGAGGGCTCCTGCAGAGCTGTGGCAGCCCTGCCTGCGGCTGTCAGAGGCTGGCCCAGGAGAGGAAGATGCTGGCTCTCCCCCCCTTGCAGAGGAGGAGTGCGGGGAGGGGCATAACTATGGCCCGAGAGGGGCAGGAGCCTGGCCACACTGAGCAGGCGGAAACCAGGTCACATGAGTCTGGGCAGGAGGGAGCAGCTGGCTGGGATGGCTTGGCCACTTCCAGTTTTTCTAGTCCCTGTGCCAAGCCCCATGTGATGGGACTGAAGCTGTCCACCCAGGTGTGCTCCAGCCTCCGCTGTCACCATGCCATCCCCGTGCCCCCCGTTGGCCCTCAGACCCCCTCATCCTGCGCCCACTGGGCTCTGGTTTCCTAGGTCCGGCTTCCGGAAACCAGAGCTACCACCACTTCCCATCTCAGCACCGGCCCACACGGCCACAGCCGAGTGCTCGCTTTCTCCAGAAGCCTCTGCGGCCTGGTTCCACGTGCTGGGCGGCGGGGCAGGCGGCCAGGCTGGCCTGGCAGGGTGGCTTAGCCGCTCAGGACGGCCGAACTCGTCCTCTCAGGGCTCTGACCCCAAGCAGTCGCTGCTGTTTCTGCCTGCTCAGCAGCCCTGCTTCCTAAGACCCTGTCTCCACACCTCCTCCTGTGGTCCGGGCAGAGCTGCCCCCACTCCTCTGAGACCTGTGGGAAGGACACAGAAGCCAAAACTGACCGTAGAGCCAAGATGGTGAGACGCAGCTCTGGTAGCTTCCTTAGAACTGAGTTCAGAGTGAGGAGGGAGATTGCTGAAGGCCACTGATGGAGCCGGAGGAGGATGGAGCCACTCAGGGCCATCGTGACCGAGAGGGGGCTCGTCCTGCACCCTGAGGCCACCTCACCTGGACAGGCCGCCTGGCAGTCAGAACCACTTCTCCTTAGGCTTACACCGCTGGGAAGTGGTTTTGGTCAGCGGTGGCAGCATCAGATGGACACACAGCACAGGCAGGAGCCGGGGAGGCCACACAAGCACTGGCCAGGCTGTGGGAGGGAGCGGGCAGGCAGCTGGGTCTCTGAGCTGCTGCTGCAGCAGGTCCTGCCACCAGGACGACCTGGCACCCCTCAGCCTCCACACCTTGCACCCACCTGGCCTCCTTTCTCGCTGCCCCACGCCCAGGTTCCAGCCTGAGGTTTCCCAAGAAGCCTTTTACACTCATTCCCTGGCCCCACCAACCAGCCATTCTGGCCCTCCCTGCCGCCCAACCAGCTGCTCCCCAGACCTCGCGGGCCTCCCAGTCCGTGCGCGCTGTGGCCGAGGCCTGACCCAAAGGGGCTCAGTGACGGTGTGGCTGACAGGTGCTTAGACACAAAGGAGAGCTCCAGGGAAGGGATGCCAGACATGCCCTCTGGCTGCCCACTCAGCCCTCTTCCTCCCGGAAACTTGCCCTGACGGTAGGACTCATGCTGGTGGGAGGCCTGTGCGAGCCTGTCGGTCCGCTGGGTGCACGTCTGTGTCTCGGGTCCCAGTGCGCGGGGGTGTATCACAGCTCATCTGTGGCCCGGGTGTGTCTGGGTTCCCGCACATGCCAGGCCTCTTCCCTGCCAAGCTCTTGTTTCCTCTGAGGCCGAATCTTCCCTTCGGAGCTCACCCCCTTCCGCCGTGGCTGCAGGAAGCAGGCTAACGTCAGCGTTTCTGAGGAAATCCCTGGCCCCGGCCCCTGGAGCCCTCCCCAACCCTTGGTCCAGCTTGCCCAGCCTCCCAGGCCTGGGCTGAGACTGCCCAAGGCCCTCCAGACACTGCCCCCCGCCCTCCTCGGCAGCCCTGGAGCTGCCAGCATCACGAGGGAAGTGAAAAAGCCCCTCCCTGACCTCTGTGCTAAAGCCCTACATGGCCGAGGAACCTTCTGGAAGCTGAGCTCACCAAGGACCTTTTGGGGAGTGGAAAGGCCAGCAGAACCATTATGTTGAAAATAAATCATAACTTGGATATGATAGACCACAAGCATTGCATAACTCAACCCCAACCTAAAAAAAAAAAAAAAGAAAAAGAAAAAGAAAAACATTTATTTTAAATTATTTTCCTTCAAAAAGTTGCAAAAGTAGTTTAGTTGTCACATACCCTTCATCCAGCTTCCTCTAAGATTAAAATCTTATGTAACCATATTTCCATTATGTAAACTAAGGAATTAGCATTAATACACTATTACCAGCCATTTTACAGATCTTGTTCAAGTATCACCAATTGTCCACTAAATTAGTACAAAGACCTCAAAAACATGCTAAGTGTGCAAGACACAAAAGACCACATGTCTTGCCCTAACCGGTTTGGCTAGGTGGATAGAGCGTTAGTCTGCCGACTGAAGGGTCCCAGGTTCGATTCCAGTCAAGGGCATGTACCTTGATTGAGGGCACATCCCCAGTAGGTGTGCAGGAGGCAGCTGATTAATGTTTCTCTCTCATCAATGTTTCTAACTCTATCTCTCTCCCTTCTTTTCTATAAAAAATCAATAAAATATATTTTTTAAAATACACACCATATGTCCTATGATTCCCTCTATATAAATTCCAGAAACGGCAAAGCAATAGAGACAGAAAACAGGTCAGTGGCAGCCTGAGCTGTGTGTGAGAGCTCTAATTGTGATGATGAGAATGTTCTAGAGCTGATTTGTAGTGATGTTTGCACAACTCAGTAAATTTCTAAATAATTATTGAATTTATTGAATTTTTACACTTAAAATGGACAGATTTTATGGTATGTAAGCTTTCCTATATAATAAAAGCCTAATATGCTAAGTGTCTAGTCATCTGGTCATCTGTTCAACCAATCAAAGCATGATATGCTAAAGCCGCTCAACTGCTTTCTATGACATGCACTGACCACCAGGGGGCAGATGCTCTGACTGGTAAGTTAGCTTGCTGCTGGGGTCCAGCAGATCAGGAATGAGTGAGATGGGCCACACATGTCCTGGAGCCCTCCCACAGTTCCTCCCCAGCTGGCCAATCTCCTACATCCCTCCCAGCTCCAATCATGCACCGGTGGGGTTCCTTGGCCTGACCTGAGCCCTCTCACAATCTGGGACCCCTCTGGGGATGTCAGAGAACTGGTTTCGGCCCAATCCTGCAGGCCAGACCGGGCCTCTAATATCTCAATAAAGTTGTTTTAAAACTAGTACAAAGGCCCTTACCAGTCTGGCTCAGTGGATAGAGTGTCAGCCTGTGGACTGAAGGGTCCCAGGGTCGATTCCGGTCAAGGGCATGTACCTTGGTTGTGGGCACATCCCCAGTAGGAGGTGTGCAGGAGGCAGCTGATCGATGTTTCTCTCTCATCAATGTTTCTAACTCTATCCCTCTCCCTTCCTCTCTATATTTTTAATTTTTTTATTTTATTTTATTGATTTTGTACAGAGAGGAAGGAAGAGAGATAGAGAGTTAGAAACATCGATGTGAGAGAGTCATCGATCAGCTGCCTCTTGCACACCCCCTACTGGGGATATGCCCGCAACCAAGGTACATGCCCTTGACTGGAATCGAACCCGGGACCTTTCAGTCCTCAAGCCGACGCTCTATCCATTGAGCCAAACCGGTCCCGGCCCTCTCTATATTTTTAAAATATATAAACAAAAATAGCACAAAGACTGCTTGTATATCCTTCCATGGCTTCTACAACTGTTATCATGTTATGTGACCCTAGAGTCCTGGTGCACAGAATTCATGCATTGGAGGGGGATGTCCCTCAGCCTGCACCTTCTCATCTGGGACCCCTCAGGGGATTTTTGACTGCTGGATTTCTGGCCCCTAGGATTGGGCATAAACCAGCTGTCAGACATCCCTCTTACAATCTGGGACTGCTGGCTCCCAACCCCTCACCTGCCTGCCAGCCTGATCACCCCCTAATCTCTCCCCTGCCGGCCTGATCTCCCACAACTGTCCTCCCCTGCCAGCCTGGTCCCCCACAACTGCCCTCCCCTGCCTGCCTGGTTGCCTCTAACTGTCCTTCCCTGTAGGCCTGGTCAATTTTGGGGGTTCTCTATTCAGTCCCATTAATAAACAAATTGTCTATGTTGCCAGTACCACACTATTAATTACTGCAGCTTTATAGTAAGTCTTTTATTAAAATTAAATTATTATCTTTGTACATATACCACTACCCCCCCCCATACATGCCCTCCCTCCCCAGAGTTTTGTGTCCATTGGTTGTGCTTATATGCATGTATACAAGTCCTTTGGTTGATTTCTTATCTACCCCAGATCTCCCTATCCTCCCTGCTGTAATTTGACAGTCTGCTTGTTGCTTTACTGTCTCTATATCTATCTTTTGGTTCTTATAATGTTCTTTATCATCCATATAGTAAGTCTTAAAGTCAGGTAGCAATAACCCTCCAACTTTGTTCCTCTCTTTCAATGTTGTATTGAGTTGGCTATTCTGGGTTTTTTGATTCTCCATAGAAACTTTAGAATCAGTTTGTATATGTCCCCAAAATAATTTGCAGAAATTTTTTTTTAACATTGAATTACATTGAATCTATAGATTAAGTTGGGAAGAACTAACATCTTGATAATAGTCTTTCTATCCATGAACATGGAATGTCTCTCCATTTATTTAGTTCTTAGATTTCTTTTATTAAAGTTTGAGTAGCTTTTTAGTAAGTTTTGAAACCAGTAATTGTGAGTTGTTCAAGTTTGTTCTTCATGCTGAAGATTTTTTGGATTATCCTGGATTCCTTGAATTTCCAAATGAACTTTAGGATCAACTTATCAATTTCTATAAAGAACCAGCTAGAATTTTGACACAGATTGTGTTAAATTGTTTATTAATTTGCAAGTATTGCCTTCTCAGCAATATTAAATATTCTGATTTGAGCACCTGAGATGTCTTTCCATTAATTAGATCCTCTTTAATTTATGTCATAACAATGTTTTATAGTTTTCAGAGTATAAACTTGCATTTCTTTTGTTTCAATTTTTCCTAAATATTTTATATCTTTTGATACTATTATAAATAGAAG